ACCACATGCCAGCCAGCCCGCCCCCTGGTGGGCTGAGCTGGCCACACACACACACACACACACACACACACACACACAAATAAATAAATAAAATTTTAAAAAAAAAATCATTATATTTGCTACAGCTCACTTGTAATAAAAAATTGGAACAACTTAAATTTTATCAGTGGAAGGGCCGGACAGACAGCTCAGTGGACTAAAGTGCCTGCTTAGGCAGAGGGCAGCGGCCAGGGGTTCAATTCCCTGTGTGTTGCGCCGGCCCCGCCCCTGGGGCTCACTGAGACTGCGATTTAGACCCAGTGTGGTGGCGCGTGCTTGTAATCCCAGCACTTGGGAGGCTGTAAACAGGAGAATCACTACGAGTCCAATCTATGTAGTGAGACCCTGAACACCCTGTAGATCCTACCCTAAATACAGAAAAAATAAAATAAAATACATATACATCTTATTATATATATAAAATTTATCAGTGGAGAATTGATTAAGTAAAAGGTGCTCTGTCCATAGGTGCAGTGGGATACTGGATAGCCATTAAAAATTATGATGTGGGTTTATACTTGTGATGCAGAAAACTGCATGGATTTATTATTTAGCAAGAAAAAGCAGGTTGCATCTCATTATATATGCTATGACCTGATTTTATGTTTAAATGCAAGTTGGTATAAGTTTATATGAATGCATGGATGAGTGCCTGGGAAAATGGTGAGAATGAGATTTGCTATGCCGTTAGCTGTGCTTGCGCTGCAGGGTGGGAACGCGGGGAGACTTCTGTTGTTTTCCGTGTTCTTGTTATGCTTAACAGTATTTTCATTCTTTAAAATAATGACCATTGTGACATGTGTAACAAACAATAATCACAAAGCAAAAGCCTCAAATGTGTGGTTTGCAGCAAGAAAGAGCTCTAGAAAAGATGTGTCAACACAAAGCGGAAGAAAGGAGGAAGAAGTCTGATTCTTTTTCCAATGAAAATGGAGCTTTATCTGGTTTTCATTAGTGCAATAAAGTAAATGTAGATGGTGCAAATTTTGCCGTCCTTTAACAGTCCTTAAGCATAGGGCTCAGTGGCATTGAATACACTCACATTGTTATGCAGCAATCACCCATTGCCAGAATTTTTTTCATCGTTTCAAACTAAAACGGAACCAACTGAATAGCTCTCCGCTCACCCTCTCCGACTCCTGGCAATCACCACTCTAGTTTCTGTTTCAGAGACTTTGACTGCCCTTGGTACCTCATATAAATGGAATTACATGATATTTATCTTTCTGGGCCAGCTAGATAACTCAATGGATTAAAGTACCTGCTTAGGCAGAACACAGGGACTGGGGTTCAATCCTTGGCACCACATGCCATGCTGGCCCTGCCCCCAGGGCACACTAAGACTGTGGCTGAGACTGGGCATGGTGGTGCACACCTGTAATCCCAGCACTTGGGAGGCAGAAAACAGGAGGATCACTATTAGTCCAATCTGTGTAGTGAGACCCTATAGACCCTGTGCTAAATACATAAATAAATAGATAGATAGATAAATAAAAATATTTATCTTTCTGTGGCTGGCTTGTTTCTTTTCTTTCTTTCTTTCTTTCTTTTTTTTTTTTTTTGTTTTTTTTTTTTTTGTATTGTAGGGAAGGGTCTACAGGGTGTTCAGGGTCTCATTACTAGATCGGATTCCTAGTGATCAACCTGTTTACAGCCTCCCAAGAGCTGGGATTACAGGCACACATCACCAGTCTCAATTGCAACCTCAGCATGCCCGGGCAGCAGGACTGGCACAGCAGGCCTGGCATGGCAGGCCTGGGGATCTAACCCCTGGCCCCTGCACCTGCTTGCAGGGGCTTTAATCTGCTGAGCTATTTGGCAGGCCCTGGCTTGTTTCTTTAGGATAATGTCTTCAAGGCATCTGTATTGTAGCACATGTCTGAGTTTTCTTCCTCTGTATATATGAATGGATATGACATAGTTTGTTTATCCATTTGCCTGTTGATAGATTCTTAGTTCATTTCCACCTTTGGGCTATTGTGAATGGTGCTGCTGTGAATTGGATACTTTATCCAGCTTTACTTGGAGGTCATCATACATCAATCTACATCCGCGCTCTCCAACTGCTGATTAAATTGAGATCCAACCCAGATTTAATAAGCACATATTGGACTGGGAAGATAGCTCAGTGGCTTAAGCACCTGCCTACCAAGTGGAAAGTCCTGAGTTTGATCTCCAGTACCAGAAGGAAAAGCAAATACTGAGCTCCAGGAACTAGGCAAAGGACTTTCAGTGTATTGCTCTCCAGAAGTCCTGGACGCACCCTTCCGGGTGAAGTGTGCACTGTAACCCCACTTTGCAAACGATGCTCAGGCCCAAGTCCCAGTGCACAGAGACTACACTGGACAGGCAGAGTGGCAACAAATGACCCCAGAGTCTCAGAGACTGGTCGTTTTTTCCTCTTCCACACATTTAGCTCTCACACATGTTACACAGCAGAAAAGTGAGTGTGGCTCTCGCCTGTTCTCAGGCTGCGGACAGAACAGCCCCCGTGGGACACAGCTGCACTCATGATAGATAGAAAAAGGTGACAGATGATGAACTAGCCAGCTGTGTGTGGGTGTGTGTGGGTGTGGCTGTGAGTGTGAGGGTGGGGTGTTACTAGGTAATGAACCCCAGAGCCTTGCACTGAATTACACCCCTAGCCTTTTTTTTTTTTTTTTTTTTTTTTTTCTCTTGGCTTTTTGAGATAGGGTCTTGCTATATAGTTCAGGCTGGCGTGGAACCTTTGGTGATCCTCCTGCTTCAGCCTCCTGAGTGCTGGGAATACAGACATGTGCCACCACATCTGACAAGTGAGGGCCTGGTGACCAAGCAGGCAGGGGCCTGAGGCTGGGCTTGGTAGAGCACATAGCTCCCTAACTCCTCAGATGCCATCTTTGTCTTGTCTTTGTCATCTAGAAACAGTAGTACAGTGTGTGTCCTCCCTGAGTGCCTCACAAATGGGCCCATTCAGCCCACTCAGAGGGGACATGGGCCGAGATGGCATCAACTGAGTGCTGTGGGTACAGGCTGAGGAAGGCCAGGTTTGTTTTGTTCTTCTGGGTGATGTAATTATGACTACTTAAATTTTTGGGACCAGCCAAATAGCTCAGCGGATTAAAGTGCCTACAAGCATATGCAGGGGCCACGGAGTAAGATCCCTGGGCCTGCTGTGCCAGCCCTACCCCCAGGGCACACTGAGACTGGGCATGGTGGCACATACCTGTAATCCCAGCACTTGGGAGGCTGTTAACAGGAGAATCATTCGAGTCCTATCTAGTAGTGAGACTATGAACACCCTGTAGACTCTTCCCTAAAATACAATAAATAAATAAATTTTTGTTCCTTTGTTTTTAGATTGGGTGCTAGGAATTGAGCCAGGGACTTAAGATTGCTAAACATGAGCTCTACCACTGAGCTATACTCCTGGCCCCAGATATTTAGATTTTTGAGGGTTAGGTTTGGGTTTGGCTGGGTTTGTCTCTGTTTAGTTAAGACAAAGTCTCATACTTACCCAACAGGGGAGATACCATGATCACAAAGGTGGTTCACCAGGCCGAGGCTCATCCATTGCACTGTGGATGTGCTGACTCCTGCGATTTCCCCAAATGTGGGAAACTCGACCGCATAATGTATGGCAGTGGGGGACTGCATTCACGCTTTCCCCTGATTTGAGGTTTAAAAGAAAGTTCTTGGGACCGGGGAGATGGCTCAGTGGAATAAACGCTGAGTGGCTGGCAAATGAAAAGGCCTGAGTTCAATCCCCATTTCCGCCAAAAAAAAAAAAAAAAAAAAGTATCTGTTGAAGATTAATATATTCAGGGCTAGTGAGATAGACTAAAGCACCTGCTTAGGCAAGCGCAGGGACTGTGGTTCAGTCCCCAGCACCACTGCCACACTGGCCCCACCCCAAGGGCAGGCTGAGCCAGCCACAGAACCAGACATAGTGGCTTATGCCTGTAATCCCAGCACTGGGAGGCTGAAAACAGGAGGATCACTATGAGTCCAAGCTGCATAATAAGACCCTGTAACAACCAAATACATTTAAAAAAAAAGATTTAATATATTCATGCTGGGTGAATATATTCAAGCTGATTAATATATTCAGGCTCAGGCCTGGTGTATCCAGTTACCTGGGAGGATGAGGGAGGAGGATTGCAAGTTCCAAGTGAACCTGGGCATAGTGCCGTGCCTGGTGCCTATGAGCCGTGGCCAGTCACCCAGCACTGGACCCAGGACTCCCCAGTCCCATCTAGCCCATCCCCCCAACAAAGAGCAAGTCCTTCTTGTGGCAGAGAGCTCATGTTTCCTCAAAGATAATGTTGGGCAAGAGATTCTTGTATTGAGAAAGAACGAGGAAGTGGAGGGGTATATGGGCTCCTGAGCGGTTGGGGGGAAAAAGCCTCCTACTTGTTTATGCACTTTTTATCAGATCTAAAAATATGGAAATAAAATCGTTTTCATCCCTTGAATTAATGAACCCTTTAATCGCTCCTACAGTGGGAAGTTCTTCTGCAAAGTAGTTTTTCTCATAAAGTGCCTGCAGACCTCGCATCGCAGTATCCTGCGTTCCCACCTCTGGCTCCGACGGATGAGCATTTCGTGGCAATGGAGAGAGAAGACTGGCGCATGCTCAGCGTTGCTTTTAATTAGCTCCCTGGGTAATTCTTCAGGACAGCAAAGTTTAAGAAACAGTACGCATCCTGGGCTGGCCAGACAGCTCAGTGGATTAAAGAGCCTGCTTAGGCATATGCAAGGACCGGGGGTTCGATCCCCTTTGTGCCGTGCAGGCCCTGACCCCAGGGTGCACTGAGACTGGGACTGGGATTGGGCGTGGTGGCGCGTGCCTGTAATCCCAGTGTTTGGGAGGCTGAAAATAGGAGAATCACTAGGAGTCCAGTCTACGTAGTGAGTGAGACGCTACAGACCCTCTAGTAATTACATTAAAAAAAAAAAAAAGAAAGAAACATTATGCATCCATTCACCTCCAGTGCTCAGAAATGTTACCAACCCTTCAGTCTACTGTGGCTGAGATTCTGTTACAACTCGGTCATCAAGTGAGTCCCCTGTGACTCTGCTATTATTTGCTGGGAGGACTAAAATCACTCACCCCTGTGACCCCCTGGTCCTACCACTGCCAGGGGTTAAATGCTGCCCGAACTTAAATGAGTATAATGGAACAAAAGGAGAATACAGAAAAAGAATGTGGTGGTCATCTTATGCTACTATAGACTAAATTCTAAAATATGTAAAGTGAAAAAAAAAATCAATGTTCAACAATGTGTTTAGTCTACTAGCATTTGTATAAAAAAGGAGCCCATGTGCACACACAAGACACATATATATATATACTTATATATGCAAATATCCGTATATGCAAATCTCTGGAAGAACTGGGGTGGGAAGGAGCTGTGGTTATTATCTCTGGGGATCTGGGGTGCACGGGGACATGAGTCAGGGAAAAACTTTTCACAATACTCTATACCCGGCCCAGCTTTTGAATTTTGAAACATCTGAGTGCATTCCTTCAGCAAAAATAAATTAAACTCAAATGTGAAATGCTGCCCGCATGTGCAGTCCCGAGGCGTCTCCGCATGTGTGGGCCTCCTTCATGCAGCCCCGGGGCTCTCTGCTCTGCCTGTCCTTTCATCCGAAGCCCTCCTTCCTGCGCCAATCACTGACCTTGTCCAGCCACAGGCATATTTCGATCCGACTGTTAAGCTCCACAACTCCTCCTGCACTTAACATTCCAGTCCAGAGGCAGCAAAGAGCACACTCGCAAGAGATGTCATGATTTCAGACTCTGGCGAGAAGCAAGAGGTCAGCGTGCTTATGTAAGTCAACATTGCTTCTCGAATGGGACGTGTCCAGGAAGGCAAGCTGCACAAGCAGCTGACTGCTCAGCTTGCAGCGTGGCTTGCAAGGTTCTAAGCCTTGAAGGAGGCAGCTTGGAGGAAGTCACAGGCCCGGAACTGAGTCCAGGCCTGCTGGTGACTTTGACCTACTCTGTGCTTATGTGAAAAAGAGATATCTATTATTTTTTATCTTTTTTTATTTATTTGGTACAGAGTCTTACTACACACCTCAGACTCATAGTGATCCTCCTGTCTCAGCCTCCCCAGTGCTATTACTAAAAACAACATAAGGATAACACATGGTCCACTTGAGAAAAAGGAGATATATGTGTCCACACAAAGATTTTGTATAAGAACATCCATGGCAGTGCAGGCTGAAACAGGAAGATCATGAGTTTGAGGCTAGCTGGGGCTGCATCATAGTGAGTTCAAGGCCAGCCTCGACTACCTAGTGAGAATTTATGTCAAAAAAGCAAAGAATTCATGGCAAATTTATTAGTAATAACTGCAAACTAGAAACAACTCTATCAATAGGTGCAAGGATAAACAAATTATGGCACATCCTTATAATGCAATGATCCTCAGGGAAAAAAAAAGAACTATCAATACATGCAACAACATGGATGATTCTAAAATAATTATGTAACATAGAAAAAAATCAGACAAGAAAAAGAGTGCATGGCCATATGATGCTGTAGAAATGTAACACGGTGTTCAGTGACAGGATGCAAAGCCAGTGGTTTCTCAAGAAGGAGGAGAGAGGAAGGCAGGGAGAGGCCAGAAGGGAACTCTCCAAGGTGACACGCGTGGTCATTAGGACTGGAGATAATAGCTCAGTGGCACAGTGCTTACCTCACAAGCTTGAGACACCAGATTTGAGCCCAAGCACAAAAAATGTGTGGTGTGGGATCTTACAGTAACATGTAAAACTCAAGAGACAAGTCATACTTTTAAGACTGAAGAAAATGCTCTGCATCTTTACTGTGGTTGTGGTTACACAATGGTATGCATTTTTGTTTTTTGTTTGTTTATTGGTTTTTCTGAAACAGGGTCTCGCTATGCAGTTCAGGCAGACCTTGAGCTCACAATGGAGCCCGGGCTGGCCTTGCTCTTGGGCCAATCCTCCTGCCTCAGCCTTCCGAATGCTGGGGTTACAGGAGTGCACTACCACACCTTGCTAGGATGTATTTGCTAAAACTCTCCAAATTGTATGCATACATCTAGTGATTTTTGCTGGATATAATTGTGCCTCAATGAAGCCAATCATTTAAGAAACAGGACACACAGGTGGTGTGTGAGCACACCCCACCTGCCACGCTCTGAAGATGGCCTTCCCGTCTCTCATCTGTTTCCTTCTCTATTCTCTGTAGTCTGTGCCACTCTCGCTTTCTCTAACCTTCCCCACCGACTGATTCCTTTCCCATGTTCTGCCATTTATCTCAAGACCCAAGTCCCAGACTGAGAAAGGAATCTCCCTCTAGGTCACATCACAGCTTCCAGAAAAGGACTCTGAGGGCTCCATGTTGAGTTATATGCTGGGCCTCTATTCATTCATTCAAAAGCTATAGAGCAAATACCATGCTAGGCCCTGGGAGATCACAGAGAATGGGACAATGAAGTCTCT